GGGGGAGCCGGCTGTGGCGGGTGTGGAATGCAGCTGTAGCTGTGTAGGCGCAGGGATGTATCTGCCTCTCGGGCCCCCTGTTCCCCTCCCCCCTTTTCCCGGGCCCCCCGGGTTTCCCCCGGACTCCCCGACCCGAATTACTGGCCACTGCCGCCGGGCTCCGGCGGGGAAATACACACACACACTCGCCAACTAGCTTCTGCCTGCACCACTTGCTTTCCACTGCGCTGTACGACTCCCCCCGTCACGAAACCCAACGTCCCGGCCGCGGCGGTAGGGACCTGCTGGCGGCTGCCTCCGACCTGGAGCGGGTGGTTTCGGAACTGGACCAGGCGGCAGCTACCACCGCTGACACTTGGGACGCCGTACACTTCACCACCAACACCTCTACCACCGCCGCTGGTGCACAGAGCGACATTGGGACCCACCCCTTCGGGGCGGGTACGACACCGGATACGACGTTGGGATTGCCGTACCATGAAGACGCGCGTAAGTACGGCGAGGGTATCCATTGTAAAATGATATCTTATGCGAGGAGGCGAGCTACCTGAAAAGATTACTTTCCCAGTGATTACGTCATGACTAGACATTACGCAGACGGTGGCGAATGTGGTTTTAATAATCAAGCTAATGCCGTGTTGTCTTCAGTGGCGGCAACGGAGGCGAGCGGTGGTGGTGGTGGTGGTGGCGGTACTCCGGAGCAGTTGTTGGCTGCGGCCAGGTCGGCGGCGGCTGCGGGGCGCGAGGCAGCAGCGGCGGCCGGTCGGTGGGTGGCGGGCTGGCGGGATGCGGTGTCGGAGCTTGCGGCTGTCCAGAGAGACGCCAACCCTCGGTCCGAGCTGCGGGGCAGGTACGGCACCCAGAGGTGGGGTGGTGAGGGGCTGGTTGCCGGGTTGGTTTCTGTTTGAATACTCCTGTCCGGGAGGGGGGATGATATGCAAAAGGGAGAGGGGGGAAAGGGCCTTATGAAGCGGCGCGACGTAGCACCTGCCCGGCAGACCCCGGGAAAGGGGGGCGGCAGGGAAAAGGCCGGAAGGCGGTATTCCCTGCACCAATTTGGGCTCCCAAAACCGCAACCCCAAGGCGGAATGGCGGCCCCTCCATCGGCCCTCTATCCCTGACTCCCCCTGCCCTTAGGTGCCGCCCGCGTTGACTGATCCTCGTACGACCTTTTGACGTGCCGTACACGATCCAGTGTGTCGTACGCACCGCGCCACCCCACCCTGCTCCACATAGGGCCCAACGTGAGCTTGCGGATGTTGAGATGCAGCTGGCAGAGGCGGAGGCGGATGTGGTGAGTGGGTGGAAAGAAGGGGTGGTTCACCTTCCCACAACCGCCTTCCCTGGGAACGTAACGGTTCGTATCCCCCCGTTTTCCCTATATACATACACATACACACAACCTGCCACGTGCCCCTGATGTCGGACATGGCCGCCTTGACAGCCCCCGTTACCTCTTCTCTTAACCCCCCCCCTCCTGGCCCCTCTCCCCCCTCCCGCCCCCCCACCCCGAAGGCCGCCTCCAACGCCCACCTAGCCGCCCTCAGTCAGGCTGATCGAGCGCTCGGTCGCAGCGGCATACCCAGCCTGGTGCTGGAAGATGTGTTGGCGCAGCTGCAGGTGGGTGGGAAGGCCATTCTGTACGGAAGCACGGGCAGTACAGCTGAGCTGGAGTAGCGCTCTGTGCATCCTCCTGGCCCTGGGGACGCACCTTTTGGCGAGGTGGTCGCCTGGGTTGCCACCTAGGGCCGCTGAGCCCTCCTACTTACCCCGCCGCACTCCACCACTCTACCTGCACCCACATGCACACACGCAACCAGGCCTACACTGCCGGCTACCTGAATGAGCTGTGTGACGGCTTTGTGCTGGAACTGCGGGCCACCAAGCCACCGGCCGGAGGGGCAGGAGGGGGCGACGGCGGGGGCGGGAGCGGGGGCAAAGGCGGAGGCGGGCGCGGCAGCGGAGGCGGAGCCAAGGAGAAGGAAGAAATTTCAAAGGCGAGGCGTGGGCGGGAGGTGTTGTGCGGGTTCAGCCGCCAGGTGCTCTGGAATGTCAGCAGTTTGACCTTGTACGGCCCCAGGTTATATACGAGGCCCACTTACCGGCCCATCTGTATTGCCCTCCGGGGAGCCCTTCACCGCTTGTCTGCCGCCGCTGCCGCTACTGCTGCTGGGTAGCCCCTTGTGTACCCCGAGTTTGATCATCCTGCTGCCGTACTCTTTTCTTACTCTCCCCTGGAGCCCTCCGTATGGCGGTGGTATATCCGCCTTGGTCTTCGTATTCAACGATTGTTTGCGCCCTGCCCCTTATCGCCGTGTCCATCCCCGCCGCCCGTACAGGTCATCAAGGTGCGCAACCCCATGGACGGCTCCCTTAGACAGCGGGATGTACGGCAGCTGTCCGGCGGGGAGAGGCGCCGTGTGGCCCTGGCGCTTTGCCTGGGTTTTGAGGAGCTTGCACGGCGGCGGCGGCGGCTGATGTGCAACGTGATGGTCCTGGACGAGGTACGGCACTGCTGTACGGAGTCAGGACCTGAGCGGGCCGTGCGTCAGTAGATGTGACTCCCGGCCTCCCCTTGTGTTCCCGCCTTCATCACACACCGCCTTCACACCCCTTCCCCTCCCTCGCTCTCCCTCCCGCTTTCAGGTTCTTCAGCAGCTGGACAACACAGGTTGTGAGCGGGTGGCTCGAGTGCTCCGAGACTTGCCGCACGCCAGTGTGCTGGTAGTAGGGCAGACGAACAGCAGCGTTACAGCCAACTTTGACCGGATGGACGTCGTGGTCAAAGAGGGTGGGGCGTCGTACGTGAGGTTAGGTCCGTGACCCCCCGGGGGTACTGGGCCCGTCCGCGAGCAGCCGCGCGGGGGGACCTGGACTTGGCCTGGCTTCATGTGACAGCTTGGGCATATCGTGAAACATTAGCGTGGCCGGACTTCTGATATTATATTGGGTGCAAGTGAAGCGGGGCCGGGCCAGCTGGGTGACCAGCTGCCGGACTTCTGTGTGTGTGTGTGTGTGTGTGTGTGTGTGTCTCTCTCTCTGTGTGTGTGTGTCCACATAAGTACCCACTCGTGAGGTTGAGGCACCCGTAGCCCCACCCGCACCCGCACCCGCACCCGCATTGGTGTGTGTGCAGCATACGTATGTATGTATGTGAGTGTGGGTGTCTCTGTGTGTGAGTGTGCGTTGCACATGTGCCCTCGGTGGTGGTGCCCTTACCCCCGGGGTGCCTCTGCTGCAAACCTGCCGCCGATACGGACCGGGGGCGAGAGGGGAGACGGGAGTGGAACGCAGGGAGGGGAGGGGTTGTCAAGGGCTTCCTACACCTCCCTGCTCAGAGCTACGTGGCTGAGGTTATCCAGTTGTCGCACACACACACACACAAACACACACAGAAGATGAAATGATAGGATCAGAAGAGGAAAACGCAATAACAGCACCTGTCGCAACCAAACGAAGGCCAGGCGTAAGCAGGCGGTGGGCAAGTAACACCTCCGCCTTGGGAGCAACCGATTTTCGGCAGCTGGTCCGTCGCTTGGCGTGCGGGGCCCCAGCCCACATGGGGCACGTATCGACGTACGCCGGCGGAGCCAGCGAAGTTCTTCAGGCGGTCGTTACGGGGGCGTAGGAAGGGGATAGGAAGGTCAACGGAGGGGTGTGCGGCATGCGCTAGGACCTGTCCAGGGGGGGGGAGGAGGGCGGATGCTTCCCCCTTCCCGGGCAAATGATATCCCGTCTCGCTGGTCTGTACTGATCTATAGCTTGTTAAGTGGCTGGGGTATGGGGATGTTGGGTCTTGAGGGAGGGGGGTGCCGTAGATCCGGTGTCTTCTCTGGAAGAATCCCTCACCTTCAAACGGGGCCTGACATGTGCCTTCTGGGGCCTTCTACCCCTGACGATGAGTAACTCCCCGCATCAACTCTCGTCCAGTGTCATGCTCGTTCCTAATCCCGCTATACCATGTTGTCGCGCCGCGTTGCGTAGCCACCGCGGCGCTTTTCGCTCCACTTTCCTTCTTTGAAAAGTTCATTGCTCATTCCGTATCAATTCCACTTTTCCTTCCTACGTTACACTTCGGTACACGTGCGGTAGGTAGCGTGACGCGGTGTGGACCAGATTGGGTTGTGCTTGTCGTACCGTACAGTTTTTGAGGAACGCTGCTTCTGTCCTGGGTAAATGATTGAGGAATTGCAAACTGGCCAAGTGCCTTATGTTCCAAAGATTAGTTACTAGTCATGTGCGGTGATGAAAAGTGTTCACGTTTGGCTTGACCCTCACCCTTGTGGTTGTGGCAAAAATTTGAAGTCGCCTTCAACACAACCAGACTATTTTACCGTTGGGGCTAGGGGAAGGTTTGCCGAGGTTGCCCTTGCACTGAGCTTGCACGTTCCAGGAAAAGACTTCAGCGCAACAACCCAAATCATAGTACGCACACAATTGCATAAAAAGATGTACTTCGATGACTCCATAAGCACATTCGTCCTAAAACCATCGGCCAGTTCCAACGCGTCCTGCAGGCCACTGGCCGGTGGGCAGCACAGAAACTCAGGACGGGCGTTGTGTTAAAATATCGAGCTCCCTAATAGGAATGTAACATATTAGTTATAAATACTCTGTAGTATTGGAGACCCGCTTTGAGCTTCAATACATTAGCGACGGTCTAGTCACGGCAGGCTATGTGAGGCGGTAACACACAGCATTGCTGAGGGAAAACGGATTATGCTCCTAGGTATGTCAGCTTTGCGACTCGCTCTGCAGCCGAGAGTCGATACATGTGGAGTTAGTAACCCTGCCTAACGTGTTTGAGCCGGTAACCGTCATACAGGCTAAATGCATACGAAGACCTCTCTATACATCCAAGAAACTTTTGCGAAGGAGCCTTTAGCGACCTTTGGGTGCCACCCTGGAGCATTCCTAGGAGACTCCACTCAGAGAGTCCCTCAGTATTTCGTAAGACCTGCTATAGTTACTTAGCATTCTAGGCTCAAGGCTTGCTTCTACTGCTATTGCTGCAAACGCACATTTACAAGTTGACTGTCAGCCCAACAACCCGACCAGCCGGCAATGCAGGCCCCGTCCGTTACCTAGGCCGGCAGGGCGCTTAGCTGCGCCTTTCCAACAAGGGCCAGAGGAGCAGCTGCCAGGATGACAGCAAGGAGAGGATAGCCCTGGTTCATGGTCGTCCTGGCAGTGCTCAGGCTTCCACTCCGGCTCATATCGCGCCTTTGCGCCTGGTGGCTTCGCATAGACCTCAAAACAGCAGAGCTCCTCAGGCGTCATGATAGAGGGGCTCTGCCTCCGCCTCAGCAGCACGACGTGAGGCAGGAGCCCAGCAACTCGACTCCTCGCCATCAGGCCAACATGAACGGCGGAGCCCCTGCGGGGCCTCACGCCAACCACGTCGCGGACCAGGATGAGAATGCTTCAAGCTCGAACCGGCAAACACCGGGCCATCTAGTCTATGACAAGTATGCCAGCCAGCGGCAAGCCTGGTGCGACTCCATCCGCGACCAGGTCCGGAGTGCCTCCACGTTTTGCTGATCGGCACGGAGAGCCGTGGCTGGTCACCGCTTTTACGCCTTTTCCTTTTGGAATGTCCTTATGCTCTTTCCACAGACACTTGCATGGAACTTCAACGCGTTTGAGCTATATTCAAGGACACATGGGAACCCGCTGGTTACCATCACCGTCACCCTGCTCGAAACCTACGAGCTTCTGGTAAGCGCCGTCCTTCTTAATGGGCTCAGGGATGTCCGTTTGCTGACCTTGACCTGTGAGCGCAGGACGGCTGGCTTCTGGACCGCGCGAAAGTCGTCAATTTCTTGTTGCGGGTGGAGCAGGAATACAACCCCAACTCGTATCACAACAACACACACGCAGCGGATGTCACACAAACAGCTGCAGTGATTCTGGAGAGCTTCAAGAAGCAAGTAAAGGAGATCCCTAAGCTCGAGTACTTCAGCATCATCATCGCCTCTGCGGTGCATGACCTAGGGCACCTGGGCGTCAACAACGACTTTCTTATTAACAGTCGGCATCCACGTGCCACTATGTACAATGACAAGTCTATTAATGAGAACTTCCATATCGCACGGGCTTTCGCTATAGCTCGGGAGTCCCCGGACCTGGACATCTTCAGCGGGTTCAACGTGGACGACCAGAAGCAAGTAGGTTATTCGTTTCGCCACCTTCACAAGCTCTTGAGGGTAATGAGCGGGTGCGGGTTGCGCTGCAGATACGGAAGCTCATGATCGAGACGGTGCTGTCGACGGACATGGCAGTGCACTTCGACTTGTTAAACCGGTTCACGACCCAGGTGGATGCAAAACCGGACCTTAGCGAGTGGACTGATCGCACGCTTCTGTACCAGATGCTCGTGCACTTAGCGGACATCGCGAACCCGTCGCGGCCGTTCCACCTGGCTCGGGGCTGGGCAGAGCGGGTCATCGAGGAGTTCTGCGACCAGGTGTGTCTTCATTTCTTGAACCAAATACTGCCATGCCTCTGGTTTATGCTAAGCGGTTCCCTCGCAGGGTGACCGTGAGGCCGCAATCGGCCTTCCCGTCTCGGCCATGTGCAACCGGACTACCATGAACATGCCGCGCGCGCAACTGGGTTTTATTAACATTTTTCTAAAGGTGTGTACATGCGATGTAATAGCAAGGTGTGCCTGGCCTGGCCGATATGGGTGAGTTAGTAATACCGCTGAGGCTGTCTGTCTTCTTGCGACTCTCCCGCTTACCTTGGGCGTGTTACCAGTGCGTGCCTCACCTGTTTAAACTTAGAACGCGTTTGCCATGCCCATGCAGCCTACCCTCACTTGCTTCGAGCGGGCGGCGCCGGATTTTGTCAGGATGGCGTTGGAGCACCTCGAATTGACCATTCGGGAATGGTCGGCACTGGATGCGGCGGGGCTGGTGCTCCCGCCGCACCTGATGCCGAAGCCAGCGCAGCAACAGGACGGGGCAGGCGGGCAGGGCCAGCAGCAGCAGCAACCGGCGCAGGGACAGGGGCAGCAGCAGCGTGCACCTGTGCCTCCGCGTCCGCAAGCGCCGACCCCTAGAGAGGATCGGCAGCTGCCACTGCGAACTCCGTGAGTAGCCATTAATTCGTTGCGCGTTGGCGCGTGCGGGGACAGTTCTGAGGCATCCAGCTGCCGGGACAGCGGCCAGGTTTGCTACGTCCTTCAGGCGAACCGATTGGCGCGCGCGGAACTAGTCGCCGTTAAGCTCGTAAGAGTGGGCTCGGGTGGTGCAATTGGCGTTGTACACCAGTTGCTATACGTGTGGTAAACACACCAGCATCCCCGAGTCTGAAACTACAGGTGCCGGAAGGGTTGAGATACCTGATGGGACAGTCCATGCACTCAGTGGGATAGGCTACTTGGGAACTTGCTCTCCCATGAAGGTCCATGCTTGGGCCGTTATGTCCCAGGGTGGGGGCTGGCATGTAACGTGAGTGACGTGCGCGTGATTTATGGGATCGAGGGTTTTACAGTTTAAGGTCCGTGAGGAGGCAGGAAATGCATCAAGCCCGGCCGTGCTTACATGGCACATCAGTGCCATGTACGGGTGTGCTCAGGCTGAACGGGCGATGATCGGTTCAAGACGGGAATCGTTGGGTTTCATGGCGCGGCACTTGTCCAGTCTGTTGTGGTCCACTCGGCAGCGGTACAGGAATCATCTTCACAATGGCTACGGCGAATCATGGCGGAAATCATGTGTGTTCCTTAAGATGTCCGTTGCTCGGGGCCACGATTAAGAGTGTCGGAGCTGTCGGGAAGTTAAGGTGGACAAAGCCACCAACCGCATTCGGGAGGGGTAACCAACGGGTGAGACTGCGATTTGACGTGGTTTGTGGCGGGTACGCATGGCCGTCACATCGTACCTGCACCCGCCGAATGTTTCAGTCGCCGACGGTAGCATATCAACCAGGATGTATGAGTGAACATGCGTATGCGCTGTGTTTCGTACTGGCGCTGACCCGCCAGCCTTGTTACAGGCCTTATGTCTGTTGCTGGTGCATGGGCATCCATGGTGTTTGAGCGTCCTCGGGCAGCTCCGTTAGGCAGGCTCTTGCATGCTGCGCTGGCGTTGGGGCTGTTCTTTCGCAATGGGTGGCAGGCTGTGGCTTAGTTGTTGAGCTTGATGTAGCGCATAGGCCCGCGTGAAGCCGAAGGCCGGAGTTGAGAATTGATTTAATGGTGTATTTGAACCGCTGTGACTACGTTTCCCTGGTATTATAGCTCAAATAACCACGGGATTTCGTTGTGAATCCCTCAGAATGGAAAGGAACCACTTCGATCATTGTGCCAATGCAAATGTGACAAGCGAGTCCAAACCGAATGCAACACCGCGTAACACTTGTCCTTGTTATCTGTATTGCATCAACTTGCTCGTGATGCGTGCGCTGGAGCCAGTAATGGCCAGCTCCTCGTTGCAAGTTTGTTCCCCGTGATTCGGTGCGACGGCGAAAAGCTTCGGCACATTTACAGAATACCGATTGCCGCTGCTATGGCGAACGGCATAACAACCCTCAGCGCGAAGGCTTCAGGCTATTTTTCCTAACGCCTGCCCCGTGAGATGTGCTACACGGTCTCTGCCCCTTCGCGATTAGCATCCTGTAGGCATGTTGTAACAAAAGGGAGGGGGGGTGTGCAGCAAGGTAACGACGGACAAATGCTACGGCGTCGTGACAAACACTGCTAGCCAACAAACGCGTAACGTGCACAATTGAGTATTAACGGGCTATTCCAAGCATCTGCACCTGCCAGGAAACACCCAAGTAGAGTTAACCCTCCGCAACAGGCGGCTTGCAGATGCGCATGGTACCTTTCAGCAAACCTGACTCGACTGGGCCCCACGTGGAACGACGGATAAAAGTGGTTCTTCCCACTGCTCCTATGTCCAGGAAACGTCGTCGTAACCCGTTCGGGTTGCGGTACCATGCATTGCCCGTCTCTACCAACTTGACTCCACACACAGTATACGTGTGCTGGTGCTCACCAGAGGAGGTAAATCAAGCATGTGCACAAACTCCAAGAAACTGTCACGCGCCAACAAGTACTAGCGGTCGTATTCCGCTGCCTGATTGCAGACCCCCAATCGAACTTACATTGTGTATGGTGGGCGGTGCCGCCACCGTGTTCCTTTCCAAGGGCACGCTGATGTACTGCTGCTTCATGGACCTGAAGCAAGTCTGCCTCGGGCATATGATGCGGCTCTCTGCCACTGCATCCATGCCTCTGCCGCGGTTGCTGGACAGGGCCCCCGGCGGGGGTTGAAGCGGGCCACGACATGCTTTCTCCATCGTTCCCGTCGCCGCTCCGGTCCTTCGATGGCGACGAATTGGAGGCGCCCGTCGAAACGTTGTTAGCGGCTGTTGGCAGAGGGAAATGACAAAGACCCAGACATGACCCGGCCGCCGAGGAGGAGGTAATCATAACGGGTTACAGGGGGTTGGGAAGATGAACACAGCGCAGCACCCCACGACACGACAGGGGTGGTGCCCGCTGTGCTAATGACGACGAGCGCCAAGCCACCTCTCAAACGCCCCAGAGGGTCCACCACCGCTAGGACGACGCCTTGGACCTCTGGTGACCTTCCTGACGCACAACGTCCCGTCGCATTCGTGTGCGATGATGGGCTGCGGTCGTCCAGGATGATTGCTCCATTAGCGCAACCAGCTTTTGCGAGGAAATAAAGACGCCATAATTGGACTACTGCGAGCCATATGACTACAACCAACCTCGCAACACGCCGCCTGCCAAACACAACACAAAGATGAAACTGAAAACCACCTCGGCAACCGCTGCCTACCTGCTACAGCTGCCTACCTGCTACGCCCGGCGGAGTCCTTTTTCGTTCGCTCCGGCCTTCATTGACGGCACTGCTGCCTCCATCACCGCCGCCGCTGCTGCCTCCTGCCCCTCCGCCGCCTTCCCACACACTTCTAAGAAGGTGGGGAGCGTGAGGACTCCCACCGGACGCCGTGCATTGCACCGCAGCCTGCACCGCCGTATCCGGCGACGCGCTCTGTGGCAGAACCCCCGCCGGCTGCTGCGGCAACTGCCTCAGCTCCTCTCCCGCCACACTCAACTCCGCTGAGTGAAGCTGCAGCTGGCTCAGCAGATCCTGCAAGACCGACTGTGATTGCCGCTGCGGCACCTGCAACTGCGGCATGGGTGTCTGCGACGGCGGCGGCTGGTGTCGCGGAGATGATGCTGAAGGAGGCTGTTGCAGCTCCGTGCTGCACGTGGGCGTCACAACCACCACGGGCAAGATCATCGCGTCGCCGCCAGCGGAGCCCAGGGCCTTACGGCTGGTCACGCCTAGCACCGCCGCGTCAAGTGAAGTCAGTGAGGGGCGTCCCGCCGAGTCCCCCGTCCCACTGCTGATGCCGGTAGAGCCATCGTCATCGCACTCTTGTGACGCAATTTTTGTCCGTAATGTTGAAGAGGCGCCACCACCGGGGAGGAGAGCTGCTCCAACGCCATCGCCACCACCACCACCACCGCTACTGCTGCTGCTGCTGCTGCTGCCAGCATCGCCGAGGCCCAAGGAGGGCGGTCTTGCCCGTCCAGTCGACAAAGTCCCGGCGACCACTTCACCGCCGCTCTCCCGTCCGCCATCATCGGCGGGGGCGCGCGGCACAGTCTGCAGCCATGCTGCCGCCTGGGAACTGCCCGGGGCTCCCACGACGCCGGTGCCACCGTTAACGCTTTGCCTTTCCTCCTTCTGCCCGACCTCGCCGCCACCACCACCACCAACGCTGCCGTCCACTTTGGCCGTGACGACGGCTTTGGCAGCTGCGGCAGCTGCGGTGTCGGTGGTTGTTGATACTGTCGAGGCACTCAGCCGCTGCGCACTTCCGCCGATATTTCTGGATCCTGTGCGCTGCAGGCTGTTTCCGCGGCTTGGCCCCGACAGCTGAATCGAGTTCTCCGCCAGACGAGCGGCGGGGACCACCGCGGCGCGGGCGGCTGCAACATTAACGGGATGTGGTAGTGGTGATGGGACGAATAAAGGGGAAGGGACGTGGAGAGGCGGCGCGGGCGAGCGTGGGGCGAGGCCGCCGAGGGGCTGTCAAGATTGTTGTGTTTTGGCTGCCCTAGAATGGTTCCAAGATTCCAATTCGCAAAAGGCGACCGCATCCGCCCCGGGGGTCTGCCCTCTTATCTTGCGGCTTCTAGCTGCTCGAATAAGCAAACGCGCACAACAGCATAGACGGTAAGAGGCACGTGGAGAGAAGACGAACCGCGAGCGAGAAGTGGAGGGGGGAAGGCCGATCGGATAAGGCTCCAGCCCTAGCTGTAACCTAGCTTATCCCCCCCCCCCCGGACGATGCGGTTGCCGCTAGCGTTTGTTTGCAGCAAGACAGGGGTGACACGGGAGGAGCATATCCCTCTGCAAAGGGGAGGGGTCTTAATGCATCCCCTGCCCTACGTCCACCGCCCAGCCGTGTGCGCAACTCCATTTCCACCCTCCCACTACCACCCACCTGCCACCACGGCACTTGCAATGATCTCCTGCTGTTGCATGAGCGAGCGGCTGGTGAGGGTCTTCTTGAGCGCCTCCCGCCCCGCCTGACCCAGCCGCCGCAGGTGGGGGTCAGACCCCGCCAGCAGCCGTTCCCGCTGCTGCTTGCGCAGGTGCATGGCGCGGAGGGACCACACAGGCACCTGGAACGAGTCCTGCGGGGACCACTCGGAGCGAGCCCGAGCCCACGCAGCGAGGAGGACGGACGTCCCGAGGACGGGCGGGCGGGCAGGGAAGGGTGAAGAGGGTTGCGGTTGCACGGCGTGAAGGGGCTGTCGAGTGAGAGGGGTGAGGCGCTGAGGTAGGCGAGCAAGGAAAGGCAAGGAAAGGCAAGGAAAGGCAAGGAAACCACCCGGTCCGGAGCCCTGTCTTGGCTTATAGCCAGGAGGGGCAAGAGGAAGAGGAGGGGGAGGAGCGCGGGGTGGGGCCTCAAGAGCAGTAACACCCAGCTGCCAGCATTCGCGACACGTATAATTTCTTTTCCGGCGCTTTGCCCCTCCTCCTCTTTGCCCGCGGCTCCCCCACAGACACAGTCCCCAGTCGGAGCCCTCCTCCTCTTCCGCCTTAACACGGGTCCCAAAACCCGGCCTGCACGTGTTACCGTGGTATCCCCTAAAACCCCCTTTCCCCCGGCCAGAGGGCCCTACTAACCGCGTATTCCGTGGAGGGCACGTACGGCGCACGTATACCCACGGGTACGGCAACGCTTGTCAGGTCAATTTGCTCCACCACCTCCTGGATGTGCTCAGGGGTCAGCACCTCATCGCTGTGCACCCAAGGGGACAGTGAGGAGTGTGTGTGTTGGGGGGGGGGAGTTAAGTAGAGGGATGTCGTTACCGGAATGAGAAGGGTGGGGGGAGGAGGGAGGAGGGAGGAGGGCGGGGCGGGGGCCAGCAGGATAGCTGCCAGGAGCACCAAGGAGAGCGGACCAAGAGGCGGTAGGGGCGCAGCAGGGGCCGTGTGCCCTGTCAGGCGGTTACCACCACCATCACCACCACCGCCACCACCGCCACCAAACAAAGCCTCCCTCACCCTTCACCCCTCACCTGAAGTAAAGTACTCGCCATGCGCCGCCCGTTGTGAGCTGAGCTCCCTAATCATTTCTGCCAAGGACGGAAAACACACAGCCGGCTCCAGCACCACCCTCCAGCCGCGCTGCAACCCCATCCCCCAGCGGCCCAAACCAGGCCCCACCCACCCACCCACCCACCCACCCACCCACCCACCCACCTGCCAGCCCGAATCCTGAGGCTCTCATCCTCCGCCAGCTTAGTGGCGACCAGCTGAAGGATGCGGGCCTTGTCACCCTGAACCGCCAGGGCGGTAAAGAGGGGCCAGGGAGGGGGCAAGGAAGAAAACATGCGCGGTCGGCTAAGCGGCCCAGAGACAAGCCCCTGCTGATCCAAGTACGAATCTTCTTAGCCCCCTTCTTCACACACATCATCACTGCAAGTATGGAGGCGGTCGGCAACACCAGCACGCCCTGCCCTGCCCTGCCCGACTAACCAGCGATGCCATCCGCTAGCTAGTCGCAGGTAGTCGCGGCAAGGCGCATGCACCTCTTTCCTTTCCCCCCCTCTGCGCTCCCCGCCATCAGCACGATCCCGTCCCTTAGCTATCTTCCGACCCCGGAATGTCTGACCCGCGTGAGCCCCCGTCCCTCCCTTTCCCCCCACCCACCCCACCCCCTCACAAGCTGCCCAGGCGCCATGAGGGCCTTACGGCTGCTGGCTGCGGTGGAGGTCCCGCTGGGCGGCACGGGGGAGTTCCCCCCCGCCACACCGCTGCCCGTGTGGGACCCCAACGAGATACCCAAGGCGATGTGGCGGAACGCGGCCCGGTCCAGGTCCTTGAGCAGGGCCACCCCGTCAATCTGGGAACACACAACGGGTTTGGGAGGGGGAGCGGACAAGCGGTGCCGGCGGTGTGTATGTGTGTGTATGTGGGCGCCAGGACGGATTGCAGCTTTGGTGGGCGGGGAGAGGTGGGGGGACTTTATAAAGGGGCTCTGCTTAAAGGCCTCTCGCGGGTGAGCGCTTCTGGGGTGAGCTCTCCCCGCTCGGTTCCATGGCTCCCATCCAACTCAGCTCAGCCGCCCCCTCGCCCCTGCCCGCCCACCACAACGTCACCGCAACCCGGGTAGCCGCCCAGGTGAGGTCACCTCGACCGCGCTCACCCACCGGCCCGCCGACCCGCTCTCTTGCTCGCTGAGGCCTCCCTGGACTGGTCGGTCGCGTGCGTGTCTGTCTGTGTATCTGTGTAAGGCTCCGAGGTGCGCCATCCCCTCGCAGCGTACCGACGGTCTCTTCCCCCCCCCACACGCACTCAAAATAAGTAGCACCCACCCACCCACCTACCCACCCACCTTCCCGCCGCCCATCTCCGCGTCCATCTCGCCGGTGTCCCTCCCCGCTGCGGCCTCGGCCGCCCCGTTGGCGCCCGCTCGCGCCCTCTCCTGAGGCCGGGCCTCGTCAGCCCGGTAGAGGATCGTGATCAACCTGAGGCGCTTCTGCGGCATCGCCACGCCGTTCCTGTTGAGCATCTCCTCCAGCAGGTGGCTGGGGAAGGCTGACCCATGGGTCGCCATGATGCCCTCCAGATCCGAGCGATAGTCCACGTGATGCGCGAGCAGCAAGCCAGTTAGCTGAGCCAGCGCGCGGGGCTGCGGAATGCCGTCACATCACATCACATGACATCCCATCAGGTCGAATGATATCGCAGTGTAACCACAACCAGTGGCGTGTGTAGCCGTTGTTCGCGTTTTCATGTGTACATGCAGTTACACGAGAGGAAGGCAGCGGAGGGGAGGAAGGCAGCGGAGGGGAGGAAGGCAGCGGAGGGGAGGAAGGCAGCGGAGGGGAGGAAGGCAGCGGAGGGGAGGAAGGCAGCGGAGGGGAGGAAGGCAGCGGAGGGGAGGAAGGCAAGGATGGCTCTCTGCACTGTACACTCTGGGCGTGTGCACCCAAAGTGTGGTCTAAAGGGGCTCCCATGGGGGGACGGGGGGGGGAAAGACGAACCACGAAGGAGTGAAGCTGCTGCCAGGGCAAGTGTGTACGAAGAGTAGGACATGGGGGGAGTGTACTACCCTGTGATAGGGAGGGGGTTGAGAGCGAGAGCGAGAGCGAGAGAAGGGGAGAAAGAGGGGATGGAGAAAGAGGGAGGGGAAGGGGTCGGCTCGGCTCTGCTGGAGAGGGCCCGCGGGCACATCCACATCCACATCCACATCTCTTCCCCCCCCACGTCTTCCCCACCCAGCTCAGCTAAACCAACCGCCGCAAGGTCGGTCCCTTTCAGATCTCCTGCAACCCACCGACAACCCCAGCGGCCCCCCCCCCAAACACCCTTCTTACAAATGCGGGTAAGGCGTATGTGCGTGTTATACATGGTCACACATGCATGCACACGTGGGCTCCTTTGCCCCCCCGCTTCCAAAAACCCCATCCGAACCGCCACAGTCCTCACCACTCCAGGTGACTTGGCACCGGTGCGCATCTCCACACCAGGGTGTGACCCGGGTGACTCTACCCCGGCCGCCCCCTACCTCCTACCTCCAGGGTGTGACCCGGGTGACTCTACCCCGGCCGCCCCCTACCTCCTACCTCCAGGGTGTGACCCGGGTGACTCTACCCCGGCCGCCCCCTACCTCCTACCTCCAGGGTGTGACCCGGGTGACTCTACCCCGGCCGCCCCCTACCTCCTACCTCCAGGGTGTGACCCGGGTGACTCTACCCCGGCCGCCCCCTACCTCCTACCTCCAGGGTGTGACCCGGGTGACTCTACCCCGGCCGCCCCCTACCTCCTACCTCCAGGGTGTGACCCGGGTGACTCTACCCCGGCCGCCCCCTACCTCCTACCTCCAGTCGCCCACGTATCAAAACCGGCGGCAGGCAGCAGGCCACCGCATTACCGGACACTTTCCGACCACGCACCTCGCCCAAAGAAGATATCATTTTGAGCAGCTTCCGAGAGCTGCTAGCCGCCGATGCCGACGGCGCCACGGGGTTCCTCGCCGCGACATCCCCTTCCCGGCCTCCGTCGGACCCCCTGGAGCTCTTTCCCGAATCAGTTGGCAGCAGCAGCCGCACCCGGGAGGTTTTGCCGCTGATGCCCAGCGCCGCCGTCGCCGGCCCCCTTGCGGTGGTGGTACCACGGGCGGCACTGGCGGGCCCGTCGGTGCCGGAGAGGTCACTGAGCTGGCCGTTGGATGTCACAAAGCGCACGGCCGGGGCCGCCTGTCGGACGCTCTTGAATGACGGCGCCTCAGCCAGGAGAGGGACTGGGCTGCCGCTTTTGCCGCCGCTGTGTTGGCCCGGGTGCTGCTGTTGCGTTTCTTCTAACTGGGATCTCAGTTCAGACAAGACAGAGGAAATCGAGTTCGACCTTTGCGCACCCAGGCCGCCGGCGGCGTCGGCCCGCAGCTGCTTCACGGTCGCGTGTTGGAGGACGGGAGGTGAGTCCTCGGTGCGGCCGGACGTTGATGCCCCCGGCTGCATCCGCTGCTCCGCTTCCCTGGACGCGTCGTCTTGTTGGGTTGCTTCTCCAAGTGCTGTGCCTCCGACAGGTGTTGGATTGCACGCGTGCGACGACGCATTTCGCTTTGCCAACCAACATACGCATAGACCACCATACGCTTTCCACATATGCCTCCAGTTACGTGTCTTCAGCAAGCTGCGTAAGCCTCATCCGAGGCTCCTCGCGGCGTTAACTCGGTGAAGGGCCAATAGGGTGCCGAAAGCCGTGTGCGCCAAGCCGACAGTAGCATCACATAATTGTGACTGCCAACATATCAGTAACGTTTCACCGGACAGACTCTGAAGCGAAAAGTTTGTTCGTATCAGCGGTGGTAGTTGTTTCACCAGTAGGCAAGCTCTCAGCTGGTAGCGGTTAAGCTAAAAACACCACAATAAAAATAAGTTTACCAGGAAGGAATTACTTTAAATACATATGAAAGGCCTTTTGGCAACAAAGCAAAGGTTTCCATGAAAATTGTAAAAGAAAGTGCAAGTATGGACTCTGCATGACATGTAGGAGATATGTCTTCCACTTCATCATTTGCATCAATCGTCCCCAACTGTCAGCGAAGGTGTGGACATGTCTCAGTGCCGTACAAGAGGCACAAGAAGGTAGAATCTGTGCGACAAGGGGGATAAGTCGGAGTTTTTTTCTTCATCCTATAATTACCTCAAAACATTCCATGGTAGGCTTGGATTCATGTGCTTCCCAGGAGGCTTTCGATTCGCCACGTTGCGTAGTAAAATTGTCATCATTTTATACTAATTTGTACGAAAGAGTTCACTAGCGTAGCTAGGTATTTTTGCCCGACTCAAACATTCGGGTGCTATTTACAGGCTTTTCATTAAGCAGCTCTCAAGCAAACGATATGCAGGTACGACTGCCGAATAAAAACTCCGTACAACTCCAAAATGCGAAGGCCACGGCCTGCCACGCAAAGGCCAGCTCTCGAAAGCCGAGAATGTGTCCCAGGTGTGATTCGCAACGCGCTCATGCACAAATGGGTAATTGCCTGCCTGGGTAGCAGATAGCAAATAGCAATGAAAACACATGTGACCTCGTGAAGCGGAGCGTTACATCACGCAGGGAACAAAAAAACAGATGCGTTTTGGCGTTCAGAGCTAGGCCTGGCGATGAATCCCAGCGCAGATGCCCCCCAACGCGGCGCCGCACCTCAGCTCCTGATAGCCACTTGGCCAAGCTGCTTTACTTTTGGTTTGCTTGACATATCAGCCTTGCGTGAATATGGCTTCCAGATCCATATAACCGGTTGCCCTGCAAGCATACCATGCTTTGCTGCAGAGCTTTCTTCTGCACGGCTACTTGTACATATCCGGTGGTCACACCCCGTCCCGTCTGCACAACGTCGTTCCTCTTGTCCGTAAAGGCAGGCTGTCACTGCTGCCGCTATACCTTGTAAAACGTGTTCCGGTTCCTCTTCGTCCTCATCGTCCGCTTAACCACAGTACTTATTACAGGTCATCAACACACTGGCGCAGCCTCGCATCTTGATGCATATAGGCGGGCTGTACTATACACACGAAAGCAAGGTTCTTTTCCGTGGTCAGCGCTTCCTCTTTCCGTTGGGCACAGATACCTCATACTTCCTGTCGGTCTCACGCGCACAGCACTACTCCACCACATCTCTTAGTCCAAGTACTCACATCGCGCATTCGTCTTCCTCTGTTCCTTTTCAACAAGCCGTAGCCCCCTTCGCCTTCCAAACAGACGCATTCGCACTTCACCCCAGTCCAATACGGCAGCCATCAGCTATATCTACAGTTCCTTCAATCCTTCCGTAGCCAAACCTAATAATACGCGGCCAGCTGCTTCACCAGATACCCACAATGATTTCGATTGTCGAATACCTTGGCCTTCCGAAGTTCCGACTTTGCTAGCAGTGTCGGGTTGGGTTATTAGGCGGTCCGGAAACGCACACTTGACAACACATCAACCATGCGCCAACAACTGTAATGGTTACGTTAAGCTCGAGCTGTTGAACAAAACGGACCAGCACCTCAACCCCTGCTCAACTTCGCGTGGCAAGCTGTCGTGCAACCGTAGTGCCTGTAAGCTTGATGACTTTTGAACTGGAGGCGGCTCAAAAAAGCTTGGAATTTTGCGGTGCTACTAACGGTTGGAGAACGTTTGGACATGATTTGCTGGTTGTTTTAAAAATTGGTGAAGGCAACAGTGCATGCCCGCCCTACATATGCCCGGCTTGCTGAGTGGCCACTGACCAACCCAGCCAACCCAACCAGCTAGCCAGCCGACGTAGCGCGAAACAAACGAGAAATCTTGAGCCCGCTATAATCACCTGGCCAGGCGGCACAAGCGGCAGAGGCGGCGGGCAGCGGCAGAGGCAGCGGGCAAAGGACATGCGAACGAAGGGAAACGGTGTGTGAGCAACAAGAAAACGAACACGAAAAGGAATGCGAAGAGCTGATGAATGGAAAAAGGACAAATAAGGAAGGTAACTATAGATTCAGCAAAGACCGATATGAAAGAAGTGCAAAGCAGTGAAGCTCGGCGGAGACCAGGTAAAGGGATTGAGCGCGGGCCGGGGCCAGCACCTGGCTCCCACCAGCTCGTGCACACCAGGGGCATGTGCATGCAGCTCCGCAGTGCCTAAGGGTTGCTGATGAGTCGATGAGGTCCCAGCGTCGCGCGGTGACATAGAGGCGCTGGTTGGCCACAGGCCCACATCGTGCCCTGTGGCCTGTTATCCATCCGACCTGCTGCAATCTGGGCTGA